TTCATTCATCTATCCATTCATCTCATAAATTTTGTTGAGTTTTTCCCCTGTGCTAAGGATACATTGAACAGGCAGATTCAATTCCTACTCTCATGAAAATCACAGTGTAGTAGGCAATATAAGCATTAATAAAATACTACAAAATGGCAATTGAGATAAATACCATTGGAGTACATGGTTTTTATAAAAGTGCATGAAGAAGAAGAACATGTTTTTATAAGAGAGAGTTTTGACACATCCCGTGTGGCCCGGAAAGGTTGACCCTGTTGCTGATCTCAGAAGGCTAAGGAAGGCTTAACTAGTTGACCAGGGAGGAAGGGGGAGAAGGTTCCCGGCCTTGAGACCAGGGAGAGCTTGCAAGCAGACATTGCCTGTGCTACACCCGGATTCTCTACGATCACCTTTTGTTTCTTTGTATCTCTTCTCTGGCTTTAAGGAAAAAACCCCACAAAACACCTTTATAGTCCACATTACCACACAATTCACTCATTTAAAGTGTACAGTTCAATATTTTTAAGGTATTCAAAGATACATACAACCACCATAGTCACTTTTGAAACATTTTCATGACCTGCAAAAGAAATTCTTTACCCTTTAGATATTCATACCCTCCCACCCACACCTTGGCTCTGAGCCACTGCTAATCTGCTTTCTGTCTCTATAGATTTGCCTGTTCTGGACATTTTATATAAATGGACTCATACACTATGTAATCTTTTAAGACTGGCCTCTTTCACTTAGCCTAAAGGTTATATGACTCATCCATGTTGTGTATGTGTCAATACTTTTATTAAAAAAAATTATTATGGTACAATATGTGTAATATAAAATTTTCCATTTTAACCATTCTTAAGTATATAATTCAGTGGCATTAAGTATATTCACAACGTGCAATGATCATATCTATTTCCCCAAATTTTTCATCACCCCAAAAAGAAACTCTGGTAATTATTGTTAATTATCATCCTATATAATAAAGAGCTAATATGCTAATTAGACCAAACAGCAGACCAACTGTCCGGACGACCTTCTGGTCGAAGCTGGGGCTGCGAGGGGCCGAGCCCCTTGCACGAATTTCATGCATCGGGCCTCTAGTTAAATGATAATTCCTCATTCTTTCCTCTTCCCAGACCCTGATAACCTCTAACCAATTAATGTCTCTGTGAATTTGCAGACCTCACAAATCATAGATATTTCATATAACAGAATCATACAATATTGATCCATTTTGTCTTAATTCACTTAGCATAATGTTTTCAAGAATCATCCACACTGTAGCATGCATTGGAACTTCATCCCTTTTTATGGCTGGATAATATTCCCTTTTATGTAAATACCACATTTTGCTATCCATTCGTCTGCTGATGGACACTTGGGTTATTGCAACTTTTAGCTATCGTGCATAATGCTGCAATGAGCATTGGCATAGAAGTATCTGTTTGCATCTCTGTTTTCAATTCTTTGGGGTATATACCCAGGAGTAGAATTGCTGGGCCATTCTCTGTTGACCTTTTAGCGAAACCGTCACACTTTTTCACAGCAGTTACACCATTTCACATTCCCACCAACATTGCACAAGGGTTCCAATTTCTCTACATCATCACCCACATTTGTTATTTTCTGCTGTTTTGATTATAGCCATCCTAGTGGGTGTGAGGTAGTATCTCACTGCGGTTTAATTTGCATTTCCCTAATGACTAATTGCAGTAAGCATCTTTTCATGTGCTCACTGGCCATTTGAATATCTTCTTTGAAGAAATGTCTATTCAAGTTCTTTACACACCTTTTAATTGGACGTTTATCTTTTAGTTGTTGAGTTGTAAGAGTTCCTCATATGTCCTAGATGTCAAACCCATATGATTTGCAAATATTTTCTCCCATTCCGTACATTGCCTTTTCTCTTTCCTGATAATGTCCTCTGACAGCCAAATGTTTCTCATTGTGATGAAGCCCAACTGATCAATTTTTACTTTTGTTGCTCGTGCTTTGGTGTCACATTATTTTACATTTATTTGCAAAGGTCCCTCCAATTCCTGTGTGGAGGACAGATGAGCCGGACCCAGGTGGCTGCAGGAAGACCATGGAGGATTCTGATATAGCCACCCATGGGAGAGGGGATGGAGGCTGGGATGAGGGTGGGGAAGGTGGACGGAGAGAGAAATGGAAGGTTAGAGAGCGATTGGGGGTTGATTTAGAGGCTCTGGGGCAATTCAGGGAAAACTTGCAGGTTTCCAGCCTGGGCGCTTGAATGGCTGGTCCATGAACAGAGAGGGAGGCAGGACTAGGAGGGCAGATCAGGAGTTCCACATGCAAGATGGCCAATTTGCCATCATCCTTGGTCTGCTCCCATCCCTCCCCCTCCCCCATTTCACAGATGGAGAAAGTGAGGCCTAAGGAAGTACAGTGGTCCCTCCAGGGGCCCCCATTACACCCTAGACAGCAGGGAGTGAAACTATAGGAGCCCTACCACCAGCCAGAGCACTTCCTCTGCGTGGGGTCACAGGCTCTGGCCTCAGAGAGCTATTTTTCAGCTGGGAAAGGGTGGGGTTTCAGGCCAGATGAGCTTTTCCTGGGCTGGTAGCCAGTTCACAGCCCCCAGAGAACAGAACAGCTCTGTTTCATGAGGGCTGCCTGTACCCTGACCCCGGCCAGCTGTCCTGTCTGGGTCTGATGTGGGCAACTTGAGGGTACAAGCGTGTGGGGTGCCTACCTCAAGATGCTGACAAGATGGAGGCTCCTGGATTTGGCATTAATTAGAACCAGGTCCAGATTCTGAGGCTTCCCCTTCTCCGTCCCTTCCCTTGCCATGTGGCCTTGGGCAAGCCTCCTCCCCTCTTCAGGCTCCAGCCTTTTCAAATGTAAAATGGGTACATCCTAGGGTATGACTCTTGGGCACTTCAAAGTTGCAGTAAATGTTGGATGAGGAAATGGATGGAAGAAAAAGTACTTTGAAAACTGTAAAGTGCCCACACTTCTATTTGGACCCAGTCCTACTTGTGCTCCATGCCACTGCCCAGGGGATGTCTAAGGCTTTGCTCCTTCACAAGACGGCCACCCCTCTGGAGAAGAAAAAGGTCTGGTGTGGAGCTCAGGGATCCAGAGCTCTTACTATCCTGGCCCAGCAGGCTTGACCCACCCATTAGACAGATGGGGAAAACTGAGGGGCAGCCATCTGCTCACAGTCACCAGGCTGGTGAGCCTGGATTCAAAGGTAGGGCTCTTTGAGTCCAAAGATGAAAACTATCCTTATCCATTCAATGTCCCCATTGGACGGGTAGGGTAAACTGAGAGCCAGAGAGGGGAAGCAACAAGCCTGGGGTCACACAGGCAGTCGGAAACAGGGCAGACGTGGCACCTGAGGCCCTGAATCCCAGGCCATGCTCCTTCTACCACCCCTTGCCCAACCCCTAGAGCTTAAAAAGGGGCTCCTATCACAATGGGATATTCATAGTTACTGGCAGAGTCAGGGTTCCTTGTCAGCCCATATTCCTCCCACCAGAACAGTCTGCAAACTTTCTCAAAAATTCCACAGAGAGACACTCTACCCCCACATACTCTTTTTACAAACTTTTATTTATTGATTTGAGAGAGACATCAATTTGTGTTCCACTTATTTAAGCATTCATTGGTTGGTTCTTGTTTGTGCCCTGACCAGGGATTGAACCTTGGCATATTGGGACGGCGCTCTAACCAGCTGAGCTACCCGTCCAGGCTCAGAGCAGCCTCTCAGGGGCTGAGGCTTTACTGACGCAGAGCATTGTTGTCACTAGTGGGGAATATCGGGGGAGGTCCCCTGGGCCCCCACCATGGGCAGGTTAGGGCAAAAGTCAATAAACCAGGTCTCTTTGGACTTCAAGAGACAACTGGGGATCCAGAAAACTAATTAGGAAATCTATACGATTCCAAGAGTGAAAAGCTCTTTGGGAATTTACTGGTGGCCTCTGGAGAAATTTATTCCTTAATTTGTCGGTAATGGAAGCAGGGACTGGCTGGGCTGATACCTAATTATAATACTAGATGCCATTTAATGAGCACTTAGTATGTTCCAGGCACCTTTCTAAGGGCTTTCCGCATATTAACTCATTTAATACCTACAGCAAGCCTCTGAGGTCTGACTATTCTCGTTTTCCAGTGAGCGAAGCAAGGCTCAGAGAGGTAGCATAACTTGGCCACGATTCACAGCTTGTGAGCGGTGGAGCCTGGGCAGGAACCCGGTCCGTCCAACTCCAGAGCCGTGTGACTGACCACTGGACCACACTGCCATGTGTGCTACAGGAGACCGGATATGAGTGCTGCCCAGAGGACCACGCCCAGCCCAGCCAAGGCCCCTGGGGACAGGGCAGTGGCCAGGCACAGCAGGACTGCGGAGGGGACAAAGCCTGTGGCCACTGCAGACCCAGCAACCGGCCTAGGCTTGTCCACGGGTGAGTTAGAAGCATCAGTTGTATCAAGTCTCAGCTCTGCCACTCGCTGGGTGTCACTGGGCAGGCCCCCCACATCTCTCTGAGTCTCTGTTTCCTCCTTATTAAAATGGGGTGAAGTTAGCATTGGCTTCTTAGGATTGCTGTGAAAAATTCAACAGCCCTGTAAAGCTTTTAAAGGGCTTAGCAGTGAAATAAGTCAGAGAAAGGCAAGTATCACATGATCTCACTCATATGTGGAATCTAAGTAACAAAATAAACTGATGAACAGAGTGGATCCAGAGACATGGAAGCATGGAACAGAGTGCGGAATCTCAGAGGGAAGGCGGGGGAGGGTGGGAGGTAATCAACCAAAGACCTTGTATGCATATATGCATGGTCCATGGACACAGACAATAGGGTGGTGAAGGCCTGTGGCCGGGAGCAGGGCGGGCTGGAAGGGGCTAATGGAGGAAAAAAGGGGACATATGTAATACTTTCAACAATAAAGAATTATTTAAAAAATAAAATAAAGGGCTTAGCAGCATGCTAGGCACAGAGAAAATGCAGATAAATGTTAGCTATTAGTGTTATTACTATTCATTCTTTTTTGTTATTATTATTACATTTCATTTCTGGACCCCCTTTTCCCCAGGGGCTGATGTGAGTAAACAGGTTGTTCTTTTTGGAGACAGCGGATGCACAAGATGGCTTTGGGGACCCCCTCCCTCCCAAGGATTCTTGGATCACCCATCCCCCTCCTCAGCCCCCCTCAGCCCTCGCAGTAGCTCTAGTCTCTCCTCCAAAGTCAGTTTCTATCCTTGCACCCCAGGTACCCTGGCTCCCTGCCTGTGGTCCCCACTTGCTGGATGCTGTTGCTATGGCAACAGCATTTAAGAGCCTTCGGCCCCCCTCTGAGGTGACAGGCCTAGATGGAGATTGGCTGATCAAATGTCTCCTGCATTCTCAGGCCTGCCTGGATGGGAGACAGGAGGGAGGAACGTAAGAATGAGAGCTGGCTTGGGGTGGGGGGCTAACTCAGCCCTCAGCCCCCTGTGTGCAGACAGCAGCCCCCACTGCTCTGTGTCGCATCACAAACACCTGAGCAGTTGGTTACAAATGCAGATTCCAGCCACCGATGGCCCCAAGGGTCTGATTTTAATAATCAGGAGGGGGAACCCCCCCCGCACCCGCCCCCGGCCAAGGAAGCTGCCTTAGATCAGCCCTGCTGCTGGCTCGGAGGCAGACAGGCCCCAAACCACACTGGAGTCTTGGAAGGTCCTGCAGTCACTTTGGGCGTTGAGGTTTGTGTGGCTCTCTCTGCTGTGACAACTCCTGAGAAACCCAGTTTGCCTTCCTGGGCCTGCTCCAGTCCTGCCTCCCTCTCCTTCCACAGCCTCATCTGGGGGAGGACATGTGCCGCACCCTCTTCCCACAGCCAGGAAAATTCCAGGCTAGGCTGGCAGAGGCCATGCTGGTATGCGTCCTGGGCAGAGACCGGGCCCACGCTCTCTCAGGGCAGTGACATTCAGGGAAGGGTTGGCTTACTCTGGGCGGGTGGGGGGCTTACTGTCTTCTACGCTAAGATCAGAGGTGTAAAGGCCTCTGCCATTGTCCCCCATCGCTCGGCACCACCTGCTGGCGGGGACATGGCTCCTACCCTTGTCCGGTCCCTACCACCAGCAGAACCCGGGACTCTGGGCACCACAGGCTGTGCCTAAAGACAGGTGAAGCCTTGGGGTGGGGGGTGGGGTGTGTGTCTGAGGAGACATGGGGAGGAGGGGAGAAGAGAAGAGAGAGAACATCAGGGAGTCGAAGGTTCTCTCTGGAGGGCAAGGACCGGGCTGTGGGGGTCCTTGAATGTGAGGGCTGTGGCGGTTGGAGTTGCCGAGTGAGATGGAGAGCAGAGATGCAGCAGGCATCCCCCCTCCCCTTCTCCCTCCCCCTCTCCCCTACCTGGGACACTAACTGGTCTCCGGCAGGTCAACAGCCAAGGCCAATGGCACAATGAGTTGTGTGCAGTGATTTGCTTGACAGCACCCCCTTTATTCCTTTCCCAGGCTCACCTCCCAGTGATTCCTGGGGTGACTATCAAACACACATGCACCTGGATCCTTGTCTCGGGTTCTGTTCAGTGGGATCCTAAGACCAGGAGCCACTCCCGAATCTCTCACTCATGGTTCTGTATGAGGGCAGCGATGCCCCTTGTGTCCCCAGGGGAAGCTGGGTGCCCCTGACCTCCAGCTGGGCACTCGTCCTGCCTATGGCTGAGCCCTCTGGAAGGGTCTGTACTGGTGTGAAGGAGCCAACCCCACGCTCTGCTGCACCCTGCCCTGACCTCCCAGGGTCCGGACTTCTCAGAGTTTCCTGGTACCGGTTCTTGGCCCCTCGGCACAGGCCATGCACACACCCAGTGCTCAGGAGCCACGGCCTGACGGGCTTGGTCCCTCAGCAACAGGCCCAGCCCGCACCCCTGGAGCCTGGTACAGGGGGTGGGGGGAACTCTGCTCCCAGCTAGAGGGAGGCAGGGGGGCTTGTCTGGGGCGAGTCCTCCAGAGACGTCCGTGAGTCTGTCCCCTCTGAGGAGGAGCTGCCCCCGGTGGGGTGGGGGACCTGCCTCTGCCTGGGGAGCCGCTGCCAGGAGAAGAGGGAGGTGAGAAGCCGCTCAGGGGCAGGATCAAGGGGCTCGCGAGGGCCCTTGCCTTCACCAGCCTCTGTGGCCTGGCCGGCGTCCAGGGGCAGAGGGCCTGCCTGGAGATGTCTGTTCTGCCCGCCTCTCTCGGCCCGAGGAGGCCAGCGGGGTTTTGGTGACCGATCCAGGCCCAGGGAGTCCTGGAAGGGCGGGTCCCGCCGTCCCTTGGAAGTGACTTCTCCATTCACACCTTGGCCCTTGGCGGCGGTCCGTTGTAGTTCCAGCTGTGCCGCGTGGGCACTGGGGCCCAGTGGGCACGGACAGTGGGCCAGCGCCTTCGTCAGGAGGGTCTGGATCTCCCCGTGTCTCACCCGGGCCTCCTCCCACAGGTCCTGGCCCAGGTCCTCCCGGCTCAGCGAGGCCACCTGCAGCCCCATGGCCGTGAGCTTCTCAGCAGGGAACTCGGACGACAGTCGTTGCAGGTAGCGGTGGAGGCGGCGCTGGCCCCCGGGGCTGGCCTTTGGATCCTTGCCCAGCCTGAGCTGGGTCATCAGGTCCTGACAGTCCATGTGGAACCAGGCCATCTGGGAGACAAGAGAGGGAGGTGGGGTTCAGGCTGGGAGTGGGGCCAGGGGGGCTCCGTGAGGACAGGATGGGCCTCTCCGAGCAGAGAGAGGACTCGGAGACTAAGCATGGCTGGATTGGCCGGATTACATTAGTAACACGCCCCCAAATGTTAGCCCCCTCAGGTGGCCGTGATTTCCTTTGCTGATGGTGATGACAATGGTTCCCTCTCTTCCCCAGGGCACACACCTGCCACCGGGAGCAGTCCCCAGCACCCTGGGAACCTCAGGCACCCATGGGCCAGTGGGGACTTAGGCCTCCCTGGGACTCAGTTACTCCTTCTGTGAAATGCAAGGTGTACTAGGTGATCATAAAAACCTTTCTGAGGCTGAATATTCAGGTTCTTGGATTGCATTAGCCCCTTAGGAGTGGTACTCAGGGAGGAGTCTAGCTAACGTTATTGAGCACGGCCTGTCTGCCAGGCTCTTTGTGTCTCCCGCTGATCAGGAGGCAGCTGATCGATGTCTTCTCTCATCGATGTTTCTAACTCTCTATCCCTCTCCCTTCCTCTCTGTAAAAAATCAATCCTATCTAATAAAAGACAAAAAGGGTAATTAACCGGAAAAAAAAACACACACACAAACCTTTTTGAAGCTGAATATTCAGGTTCTTGGATTGCATTAGCCCCTTAGGAGTGGTACTCAGGGAGGAGTCTAGCTAACGTTATTGAGCACGGCCTGTCTGCCAGGCTCTTTGTGTCTCCCGCTGATCACACCCAACTGTACCAACAGCCCATTTGCCAGAGGAAGAAACTGAGGCTCAGAGACGTGAAATCCTTGGCCCAGGTCACACTGCACGTCAGGGAGGAGCTGGGATTTGAACTCAAGAGAGTATCATCCAAGCATCTCCTTGCGCAGGAGAAACTGGCCCAGGCAGCGAGACCATCAGCCAACCCAGGCCCAGCGGCCCCCTCGCTCCAGCCCCTCTGCCCCATTTTGGGGTTCTGCTGTCCCTGCTTCACCTGCAAAATGTCTGCAGGCTGCAAAGGGGCCAACACATTCCCAGCAGCTAGTGAAAAACATCATCTTTCTCTCCATTAATTTAGAAGCTGACAGCGAGCTGTTAGGCTGTGGGGATTGGAGAACCATTTTCTCCGAGGAAACCATCTTTCCGTGGATTAAGGGAACTTGTCTTTAGATAAATGGCTTCATATTCGCGGAAGCTCACGGAGCTCATGGCTGGGAAAGGGCTCCATAAATCTCCCTTAGCGGTGCAATCGTGTTATTATTATTTAGTGCCAAAGCTGCAGCACGCAGGCTCTCCGCCCAGGGCTGGGCCCAGCACTGAGCTGTCCTGTCTGTCTGTCTGTCTGTCTAGGACTCCATCTTCTAGGCCGAGCTGGACAGAGATGGATAACACCTCAGAAATCATCTCGCCCCAACCCTTGTTGTGCAGATTAAAATTCAGGGCCAGGGAGGAGAGGGGGCTTGCCCAGATCAAGTAGCGAGAGATGGCCATGGTGGGACTTCAGGTCGGTGGACCTCATGTACAATTTCTAGTCCTGGGTCGGACTGCACGTCAGGGCCAGGGAGGAGAGGGGGCTTGCCCAGATCAAGCAGCGAGAGATGGCCATGGTGGGACTTCAGGTCGGCTGGACCTCATGTACGATTTCTAGTCCTGGGTCGGACTGCACATTCCCACACACATCCACAGCCCTCCTTCCTCCAGCCACCTGGCCAGCCCCCCAGAGTTCACCAAGCCCCCTGCTGGTCTTGCTCTGGGCACGGTGGACCAACCCGGTTGCCACCTCCAGAGCTCACCTCACAGGTGGCAGACAAGAGAAGAGCAGGTGAAGTAACAGGATAATTTCAGATCACAAAGGGCCAGTGAAGCGATAGCACAAGGTGATGAGAGAGAAGCATTCCAGCTGAGGGAACAGCAAGTGCGAAGCCTCAGAGCTGGAGCATGTTTGGTTTCTCCAGGGAGGGCCAATGGGGCTGAAACTGATGAGCAAGGGAGAAGGTGTGGGGTTATTCACATTCAATCTAATTCTCTCGGCAAGGAACCTGGCAAGGCTGGCACTAGAGCCAGATGATCAGTTCTGCCACTTCCTAGCTGTGTGACCCTGGGTGCTTTGACCTCTCTGTGCTTCCTTGTGCACAAAATGGGCATAATAATAGTACCGGCCTCATAGGGTTAGTGTGACCATACAACTATGTGCAAATGACTGAAACCAGGGCACAGCATAACAGCCACAGAAGTATTATTGTTACCATCGTCACTGTCATCATCATCATCATCATCATCATCGACAAGGAGCTGAGGCCCAGAGCAGTGAGACTGTCTTTGAAGTCACACAGCCCGAACGACTGGTCGACTGGTCTCTATGGCGTGAACTGACCGCCAGGGGGCAGACGCTCAATGCAGGAGCTGGCCCCCTGGTGGTCAGTGCACTCCTATAGCGGGAGTGCTACTCAGCTGACCAACCCATCCAGGTGGCCCACCAGCCTGGCGGCAGCCACTCCCTCCCTCCCTCAGTAGTCCTGCAGGTACAATCTCCGGAGAAGGGGCCAGGCACTGGTGGACGGGCGCTGCCTTCACAATCCCGACAGCGCCGCTGGCCTCCTGGAAGTGGCCGTGGGTACTGCAGCTGCTTCCCCTCCCTAGACACTCCGCAAGGAAGAAAGGATATAAAAGCGGCCGCCAGGTGGCTCCTGGCAACTGGTGCGAAGGTCAGTGGGACAGATCCAGATCCTGAGCCAGCAAGAGCATCCCACTGCTCGCCCAGAGGGCCAATTGTGTCCCGCCTCCCCCCCTCACCCCCCTCTCGGGACAGGCACCAGACGCAGGGCTCATGGCTGGCGAGCGCTGCTATGGCAGCCAAGCCTCTCCCAATCAGTACTGACTGGGCTTGAGCCTGCGCAGGCACAGTGGGGCCGGGATGAGTGGGAGCAGCAGGCGGCGTTGGACTGCCGGTTTCAGCCCAATCCCCGCAGGCCACACCGAGGGACCCCACCTGTGCACAAATTTGTGCACCGGGCCTCTAGTACAAGCGTAAGCTGCCTCGCTCTCTAAAGTCTGTACAGCTGTGTCACGGCCCACATCTGCCTCCTTTGCCTGCTGCCCCAGGGAGACAGAGAGTGGCCTGTCTTCCCAGAGCCCCTGGCATGATTGACCGGAGTCCCTCCCACTGCCCTCAGAAACATCCTGTGTTCTCTGTCCCTGTGTGATGGGCAGGCCTGACAGCTGGGAGTCTGGGGTCAGGCTCTTCTCACACTCTGTCCTCAGTGGTGAGGGGCAGCTGAGGTCACTGGGCCTGGGCCAGAGAGGTGGGTTCTTGTTCCAGCTGGGTCACAGCTCTCCCAGGCTAATCCCTGTTCCCCTAGGCCTCAGTTTCCCCCATCAGAAAATGAGGGACTTGGGAGAGATTTAGAAGAGGTGAGGGCTCTAAAGTCAAATGCCGCTTGACCATCAGCCTTCTGGGGGACCTTGAGCCAGCTACTTTCCTCTTTGGGCCTCAGTTTTCTCATCTGTAAAATGGAAACAATGTTGGCACCCCTACCTCAGAAAGATCTGGTGCGAATTCAGTCAGGCAAGTTTGTGAAGCACTTACAGGAGGCTCTGGCATGAGTACACAGTCAACACGTAGGCTATCCTCATAATAATCACCTAATCTTCATCATCATCATCCTGGCTTAGACGTGGCTAATTGGTTGTCATTCTCCACCTACCTCCCCACCTTTGGAGAACAGAGAGCATGTTATAGGGCATGGACACATCTATGTTCACATTCCAGCTCTTCTTTTCTCCATCTATGTGGCTGTGGGCAGGGATCTTTCCCTCTTTGGGCCTCAGTTTCTTCATCTGTAAAATGGGCTAATCAACCTTGCCACATTGGGTTGCCAAGAGATGATAGATGCAAAGTAATGGAGTTCCTCTTGCCTCTCACCCTGATACTCTGTGCGTGTCCCCCACCCCCACCTGACCATGGTAGTCTTACCCTCTCCTCCTCCCTCCTGGCCAAACTCCAGGTTCCCAGGTAGGACTGAGGCCCCTGTTCTGAACATGCTACCCTCAGCCAATGGTCCCTCCCTCCTGTGCAGGCAAGGCATGGGAGAGAGCACTATAATGGTGCCATGGGCTTGCTGTGTGATCTTGGCTAAGTGACAGCCCTTCTCTGATACTGTTTCTCCAAATCTGCAACAGAAGGGTGAGGTAAGATCAAGGTCACCTACAGAGATCTATGTGTGGGGAGAAAGCCTGTGCTTTTGATTGGATTCTCAGAAATCCCTAGGCTCCTTTCCCTAATCCCAACGTTTAAGAAGCAGGTGAGCCCTAGGTGGTTTGGCTCAATGGGTAGAGCGTTGGCCTGCGGACTGAAGGGTCCCAGGTTTGATTCCGGTCAAGGGCACATGCCCGGGTTGCAGGTCCAATCCCCAGTAGAGGGCGTGCAGGAGGCAGCCGATCAATGATTCATTGCTGTTTCTATCTCTCTCTTCCTCTCCCTTCTTCTCTGAAATCAATTCAAAACAGATATTTTTTTAAAAAGAAGGAGCAGGTGATATCTGAGGGTCACTGGGAGGTTGCCTGGGGTAGTGGGTTAAACTGGGTCAGGGACCAGCTGGACTTGGATTTAGGTGAGTGACTTGACCTCTCAAGCTGTGCTTCCCAGCTGGAAAATGGAGGTGATGGATGATGGAACGAGCTTGCAAAGAGCCTAGTGTGAGCCTGGGCTGCTCCCTGCCTCCCAGCTGGAGGGCGGGCCGTGCGGGTGGGCTGCAAGGCTCACCTTCTTGCAGAAGTGGTAGAGCTGGAGCAGCGTCTCCAGGTCCGTGCGCTGCCGCTCAGCAGCCATGTAGAAGTGGGTCAGCTTAGCCTGGAAGGTCCGCTGCGTGGAGGCGAAGGCAGCCAGCTCCGGGGGCTCTGTTCCTCCCGCCTCGCGGGCCCCTCCCGCTGAGGCTCCCAGCTGGGCCGCCTGCTTGGACAGCTCCAGACCTTGCCGGTACTGGGCCTGTGTGGGGAGGGAGGCATCGCTCAGCTCCTGCCTCAGCTGAGGCCTCCCCCTGCCCCGCTGCTGAGCGATGAGGTTTCCAGTGCCTCAGTTTCCTCATCTACACAACGGGGCCCCAGGCCTTTGCCGAGGCGGCGTACTTCTCCTAGCTGGGACCCTGCTTAGAGTCACCCTCTTCTGGAAAGCTTCCCGGGCCCGGAGTCTTCGGGTCCCCACAGTCTCCCCTTTCTGTCTGTTTCCCTGTTTGGCCCCACCTCCATCCCCCACTGTTCTGGGAGTTCCCCCGAGGGATTCTGAGATGAGTCGGCTTTGGACTTGGTGGTCCCTGAAGCTTCCGGAGGAGATAGCATCTAAGCTGAACCCATTATGACCCAAGCCGGTCTCCTCACCGCTTCCGGAAGTCTTCTCGCACTTGCCCACCTCCACACCTTGGCCCTGGCGCGCCGCCCCCTCCAGCCCTCTCTGCGTCTGCTCCAGTCCTGCCCCTCAGTCTCAGGGACTCACTGCAGCCTGCAAGAAGAAGTCCTCAAATTCCAGGTGGGCTTTCTGCACTGTCTCCAGGCTCCCGTCCTTGGGGGTCAGCGCTTGCAGGCGCCGGCTTCCTTCCTGCTCCATCCAGTTGCTGACCTGGGGAGGGGAGGGAGGTTTGGACACGAGGGGCTCATGTCCTGACACCAGAGCAAGCGCCTGGCTGGGGCAGGGCCTGGAGCGGAAGCCCCCCCATGTCCCAGGCCGCCTCCCCTTTCACCTGGTGGATGGCAGCTTCCAGGCGGCCCATGCGGACGCGGAGCTCGAGCCTCCCCAGGAGGTGATTAGATGTGGTGACCAGGACATGCAGCTGTTCGTCCACGAGGCTATAGAGGGCAGTGGCTTCAGCCAGATGGCTCCTGGGAGGCAGTGGAGGGTGAGAGAAGGCCCAAGATGTGCCCCCCACCCCAATACTCCTGCCCAGTAGAGGCCTGCCTCACCCCCCATCTTCCAGCGAGTCTGTGGCCCAGATCTGGGTATTCTAGCTGCTGATTTGCTGTGTGACCCTGGGCAGGTCCCTACACCTCTCTGGGCCTCAGCTTTGGTCTACATGGGACTGGAAGGACCATCAAACACAGCAGGACACCAAATGACACTCCCTTACCTAGGAGGGTATGAACCAAACTGAACAGATCTGGGTTCAAATCCCAGCCCTGCTACCTTCTAGTCATGGGACCTAGTGCAAATTTCTCAACCTTTCTGTGCCTCTGTTTTTTCATCTCTCAAAAGTGGAGATGCCAGACTCCACTTCACAGACTGCTTGCAAGGGTGAGATGCTCTAACTCCTGGACTCTCAACCCTGGCTACATATTAGAACCTGCCCTGGGCGCTTAAAAAATCTCCATGCCCAGGCCCATCCCAGGCCAACAGAGTCAGGTCTGAACGCAGCCTGGACCCCAGTGCTTCCTCAACCCCCTCAGGAGCCAGGCCTGAGAACCAGCCCTCCTGCATGCAAAGCACTTCACACCGGGCTGGGCATCCAGTGTTTGCTGGCACTTGTTATTTCTGTTGCAGTGATAGTGAGTGGCTGTAACATCCCCTCACCAGTCTCCATTTTACAGATGGGAAAACTGAGGTCCAGAGAGAGGGACTGACTCTCGGGTCTGGCAGTCTGAATTGGAACCCAGTCCATGGCTTTTTCTGAACATTATTTTTAAGAACGGTCACAGCCAGGAATACAGAAATGGATTGTGGACGGGACCCAGGCGTGGTAACACCTGGGTAAAGGGAGGCTTTTCCAATCCCACCCACCCTCCTCTGCTCGCGGGTGGTGGGGGGGGGGGTGGGGGGGGTGTCT